TTTTATATTGCCTGATATATTATTGTTATTGAAATGAAGCAGGGAGCCAATGTCTTGCAGACAATTTTTACTACTTTTTTAAAACTGCGTTCTTACAAATACTTCTAAATAATAAAATATGTTTGGGTTCGCTTACGTACACAATCCTATCCTGCAAAATATCAAGAAAACTAAATAGTTGTGTGCACGTGTACCTTGCGTACAGGGTATAACAAACACTGTTTGTAGCTCTTTAAGCTTTCCGCCTGGTTCTTTGTGTGTGTGTGTGTGTGGGTGGGTGGTGCATTGTGGTGCCGATGCGGTGTGACATGCTCACCTGCGATGTCGCCCTCATCATCCTCATCGCATCTTTCCTTTGAGGCCTTGCACGTGTTTTTCCCCTGGTTGGAATTGTAAAAGTTTTGTCGGAAATTTTTTATTTGCTATTTTCTCTCTTTTTTTTTTGTTACCCGCCGACCTTTGGGCGCTGCTCTCGGTGCCGTCGCGTCTAATTTCGGTTTTAAATACATGGTCATAGTTGATTTCGCTGGCAAAAGTTGGAGATTGCGATATATTTGGCTGGCTTGCTGTGTCAAATGATGAATGCACTTTTGCTGCTGCATTTGACTTGCTATGTAGAATAATGCTGGTGATGTTAAATTATCGATGACATTATCGAAATTTCGATTACACATTTTTGAATGTAACCTCAATGTCGGTAAACACATATTAAAAAAACAATAAAGCTATCAAACGGTTCTAGATGCTAAAATTATAATTTCAATATCGATATTCGAAGTAGTCGACTTTCTTGTATCGAGTTTATATATCTATTGATATTCCACCCGATCAGGTAGTTTTACCATATAAAAAGACAGCATGTTAAAAAAATTTGTGTGTATTTATTAATACAAAGAATATATATATTAGAGCTAAGAACAATTTGATACAATTTTGCTTACCGGCTACAAAAGTAGAAGAAATGAAAGGAAGCACACAAAAAAAAAAAAAAAAAAATGTAATAATAAAAAAGCAAATATAGGGATTGCTCATTATTGCATCATCATGACGTGCATTTGTGCAAGAAATTAAATAAAGCATAGAACAAATGACAAGGACAAAAACAAAAAAAAAAAGGAACGAAAACATGGAAAAGTGCAAATAAAGAATAGAGTGGAAAAAGGTTAGGAGGGTACATGTAGACAAAGGCGTTCACAAAACGCTCTACTTTCTCTTGGCAGCATCATCCCCCTCGGGCGCCTCGTTGTTGGGACTCGAGAAAATGTAATTGTCACGCCCGGAGATGCCCGTACCGGCGGCATCGCCCAGCCATGGATAAACATTGGGGCACTCGCGGCACGTCTCCATGTAGCGAGTATCTGTCAGATTTTGCTCAGGTATCTTGAATGGCAGCGCACACGTTTGCCAAATGTTGCAGGGCTTGGGCGCGACGGCAATATTTTTGTCACACTTCCAGGACTCGATTTGACTTACATCGCGCAGCTCCTTGGGATCAGTCATATACTGCAGCATTTGGGTGACGGTCAGTATGTAGACGTCGGGTCTGTAAATCAGAGTAAATGCAAATCGAACAATTCATTAATCACAGTCTCATTTCTATATTGATAAAATAAACGATAACTATTATAAGATTAAATCGTCATTTTAGTTATTAACTAATTGTGAGAGTGATAACAGAACATTACTCAAACAATTTCTAGAAATTAGTATAATCCCAACTTAAGGCCGATACAGCTTGGAATCGACCATAGTACATATACACAGCTTTCCATTCGCACAAAATGGTCGCTCACAGGTGTCTGACAAACGGATGTACCAACATCAACAAGCGAGTCAAGGCAAAAGAAAACTTTACAGCATTCTTTTGCTCTGGACCCAAACCTCTTTGTCGCTGTCCCACTCTTTTTGTCCAATTCTCCCACTCGGCTGTTTGCAGTCCAGGAGGCGTTTCATCATTCTGGCACGCATTTTCAAGCATCTCATGCAAACAGTAAAACGCCTGCCACTGGCTGCCGGCTTCCTGCTCCGGCTTTCTGCCACATCTACAGCTGTGAGCGTCGACACCAGCTCAATGTTGAAAGTCATTCACACTAATTAAAAACTTCGCACAATTGTGCGAGAAATAGTTTTGCAGCAGCTGCTATTCAGTTTAGCTTCAGCTCAACCCGCTTAGTTTCGCCCCAGACCCGATTTAGCATTCAATCTCTTTTAGCGCAATTGGCGCGCACACACACCTGGACCACACCTGCATATGGTCCGAGTCCGATCATAATGGCAGCCAACTGCATACGACCAACTTCTGTCTTAGTTTAACAACATGCAGATGAGATATTGAGAGAGTTAGCGAACGCGAGTGTGAAAGAGTTCGACTCATATGCCAGAACTGAATGCGCAATGTCGGTTCATCGTCTCGTTCCCTTCATGCCACAGCCAAATGATTCGAGTTGCAACTTTAATTCACTTCAAATAGTATGTTGCTTTGTTTTCTTTGCCACCTAGAAAAACCGATTAGTCAAGTTGCTTTAACCTTATGTTTGTCTACATTTATCTGCATGAGTTCAGAAACACGCGAGTTCTCGTTCTTATATTTCTTAAAACTCTTCTAGCTATTAAAGCTTATCAGAATGTTAATGCAACTGCTGAATATTTAACTATGCTTCAGAAATAGAGCGTATTTTTTCTTGATTTCTTGTCAGCGGACATAAACTTTGCAAGGGATTTAACTGGAACGAGATATAAATTCCATTAAGTCTTCTTTGCGTACATTTTTCACTTTTCTTGTTAATTGGGTTACTCATTGCCCTGAAACTAAGATTAATCATCGGCTTGCCCAAGAAAAATTGTTGATGGTTCGAATCACGGTTCAAATCAACTTCTTTGGGTCCGTTCACGAAGATTGCTTTCCACATTCTGGGATCTAGGCTTTCCTTCAAGCCTTGGCCTGCCATACACTTTTCAATGTTTTAGGGTAACAATTCAATTAAATTATAATATATATAAATTATATAAGATGCGGGCTTCATTTGAACTCTAACCAAAATGATCATATGCTTAATACTGGGCCAAAACTTGCTTGCTTTCTTTATATTTTGAATCAAACCATTTCTGAAAAATTAATGGTTCGGCTTGGTTTTCAGATTGGCACAATTTGAACAATTACCTTCGTTCGAACCGGATCTCATCCGTTTTATTGAGAGTATCAAGTAACATATCTCATCTGATCATATACCGTATTGATTTTCATATCCGTTCATTTAAAGTTTCTGTTTAGAATCGGATCACATATGCTTTATATAAATTATGGACTTGCATATCCTTTTATGTGAAATGGGTCATTAGAAAAGCGTGGCTCTGAGTCGATTCGCGTTGTTCAAAGTATATTGTTGTATAACGCGAAATGTTGCTTTCCTCTTCGTTGTCCTGCTCCAATATATCTATTCTCTGACAGACGCTTTAAGTGCGTATGTGAAGTAAATATTTCGAATATTCCCTGTGGTATGTGGAAAGTACTTTCGTAGCTCAATTAGGTTTGAAATTATGGGAGCATGTATTTTGATTTCATTAAAAATTACATAAAAAATAATGCGGATATAAAATGAGAATTATGATGTTCCACGCTTGATGGCCGGCCAGTGGTTCAGTGAGTGGCTCATGCGCCATTTTCATTTTCATTTTCATTTTGATTTTCATTTTGAGGCGACCCGATGCGAGGTTACCCGACTGAATATGCGTGGGGCAATGCTGACAAAGTGCGATGCTATCAGCACATAACTTCATTATGGAAGTTTTGTGCTTCCTCCCGCCATAGTACACGCTGTTGGCACTTTGATGCCGCAATCTCCCTTAACCTGAACCTCATCCCTTCCAGCCACGCTGTGTTACAGTGTGTCTCTCTCTCTCTCTTGGCTGGCTCTCATGTTGTTTTTGTGCGTTTTAACATGGTTTTTAGTTAGCTACGGCCCAGCGCTTTGCCCCGCTTTGCCCAACTTTCCCTTGCCTTTGCTCGCTTTGCACCGTCCTGCTGATTGTTTTCTTTGCCAGCTCCTCGCTGTGCCCAGAGCCCTGAGAGCTCTGAGCTCGATCTGCTGCTGCCGCTGTCGCTGTCGCCGTTGCTGTGCCTGCGCAGATATTTTTCAAAATGAAAGTTTAACAAAATTAAACTTTTCTCATTAAAACGTGCAATTTTTTTTTGCTCTCCTGGTCTCTGGCTGCGCTTTTTTCCTTTTCTGTTTTTTTCTGCTGACCACAGCGTCGCCATTGTTGGGCATTGGCTGAGATTCGGGATACCGTCGAGAGTTGTGCATATGGTTGAGTGACTGCCAGTGCTATTGGTATGCTGGCTGCTGCGCGGACGTCGCATCAACCTGTTCCAGATCCACGCGACCGCTGTCCGTGTCGGGTCCCATCACGGTGGCCGGCAACATGTGCCCTCCTCCATTGGGCGCCATGGAGTAGCAGCATATGCCGCTTGTTCAAGCAATTTTTATAGCAATTGCCAATATTGTTGTTGCTGTTACTCTTGTTGTTGTTGGTGTTGTTGTTGTTGTTGTTGTTTTTGTTGTTGTTGGTGGGGATGCTGCTGCTGTTGCCTTTGCGTTTTTCATCTACTCGTTTTGTTTCACATCTCTCGATTTTCTCGTTTTTTTTTTTTTGTTGCTTTCTTTTAATTGAATATAAAACTTGCCAGCGGCAATCGGAAGCGCACTGCAGGAAACGCCAGCTGCCCATGTGTTTGTGTGTGCGTGTGCATGTGCATGTGCCTGCCGAAGTTGGCTTTCAATTAAGAAAACACCAACAACAAAAAGCCAGAGCCGAGATATACATTTATGAAAAATTGAAAGCCTCGTGCGTAGATAACAAAATTGCACACGAGTAGAGATGGAAGTAAACCGTCCCAGCCCAACACGAGCACGAAACTAACTTTCTCAGACACGCACGGGATAAGTCTACCATGGCACGGCACAGAAATGCACAGCCAAACACCGTCGAAAGTAACTTGCTGCTCTTTGTTTTCCAGGAATTTTCCTTGTCACAGGATAGCAGAAGATTTTGGATTTCATTTAAAATTAAATTTAGCTCATATTTTGGCCAAGAAAAACACGGCCCAGGCTCATCGCTGAACACTAACTTTTCTCAGGAAAATGCCTAGAAATAAAAGGTCAACATGCGTGTTGTTGTTTTTTTTTTCCAGCTAATGAAGTCAATAATATACGAATTGAATTAAGAAACTTTTAAACTGCTTAGAAATAATATGGAATCTTCCGCGAACATGCACAGCCAAAGATGAGATTGAGTCTGATTTTCAAGCAAGTATGTGAAGTGAAAGTTAGCACCAATAACAACTTACAAACCTAGTTAATCTGCTTAACTATAAATTTGAAGCTCTACTTACAATTCAAGCGCCCAGTCTAAGAATTTGTGCAAGCCATTTTCCAATGGCTTGGTTTGGAACCAGTTTGTATGGAAGGGCATCATGTAGGGTGCCTTATTCTGTTCATAGTAGCGCGAAAAGTCCTCTTGCAGCCATTCGAACACCTCGTTTTCGTCCAAATTATGGAGCACACACTGATCCATATAGGGGCAGTGACCGCCCTCGAAGCCCTCAACATAATGGGTATTCAATGGCACCTCCCACACACCCGGAAAGGTGCGCGATGGGCAGGTGCCGCTCTTGCACTCGTGCGAGATCTTAAAGTCCAGCGTGTACGGCCAGACGGGCACTGGAATTGGTGGCACAGTTATGGAGCTATCGTAAATGTAGCCAAAATCTTCCAAAACCTGTAAGATTATGTATAAAAAATATAATATTATATAAAACAGAAGCTGAAATTTCACACCAATGCACACACAATTCGCTGTATCAACAGAACGTATTGCAAAATAACTGATTCCTATCTTAAATGCCTGGTTGATATTATAATAAAGCGCTCTTTATGCTCGCGTATCTTGATTATTTCAGCCATTGAGGGCGTCAACAGACCACATTCCAACCCACATTCCGGCGACAATATCATTACCCATTCATCAACATCATTATTGTCAAGCTCAATGCAACAGATAATATACTTTGTACACACACATATTATCGCATGCAATTTAATGCGCTTTGACACGGTCACGCCCACCTCTCATCGCCCATCGCCCAACGTGCGACCATCAGGTGACGCTTATCACAGACATTTTAGCCCATTATGTTTGCAAAGTGATCTGATATTGATATGTTTTTAAATACGACTAGATTTGCGGCCTGCGAGCACTAACGAGATGATAATGATAACGCTGGCTGCTACCACTGGTGGTGGATGATGTGAGTGGTGCGGGTGGTGTACGCGAACCGTTGTGTTGTGACATTAATGTGTCGTCTTGTCGTGTCAAGCAGACACTCTGTGCCTGTGTTGGGATGAGCAGCTGCTGCTGTGAACCTGTCCGGGATTCTTTTTTTGTTGAGATTTCTTATAATTACGAGAGTTTAAATATGCATGCATAACTGGGAGTTTAGCCTTAAGTGGAAAACAAGCGATAATCAGTCAAGATGTTTAAGGATGTAAAAGTATTGATAATCGATAGAGATGCGTAGAGCCGTCGATAATCGATAAGCATTAAGACCATCGGTTATCGATATCAAGACTGCGCTGCTAATACTATCAACTCGACTATTCTTTGTTTTTATCGAAACGTTATTTTGTTTTACATATAGTTTTTTGTATTACACAGCATTACTTTTGATTTAAATATGTTTTGCATATTATTTTTATAGTTCTTCTTCTCCTATTAGAGCTAGAGACTTTTGTACGTACAGTACAAGCTTGTTACCGATATTCGATAACTTGGCCCGTTTATAAGCAATCGATAAGAATCTATATGGAAATCCCGTTTCGAGCAAATCTTTTAGGTTTTAAGAGACAGAGTACCATAATTCGAGCTGTATAGTTCTCTTTATTTTTTTTGCAAACAAGCGTAGCGCAAGCTTCATTTTGGTGTTGATAGAAGAGGGTTCAGGGTATCCCCTAGTCAGGAACTCCCGACTAGAGTCTCCCACTTGTCTTGTTTCATTTAAGCCCCAACTAGATGAGACTCGAAAGCTTACTAATGAAATGTGCGCTGTCTATAACCATTAGAGTTCTCATCGAACAGTACTTTTCAGATTCACTTCGGTGAGTTTCTAATGATACAGCTGATAATTGCCAATCAATTATGTGCATTTGTGTTGTGGTTGGAGGTTGTATTTCTTGTATTTGTATGTGCATGTGTGATGGACACTTGCACACAGATGCACTCACCTTGTATTGAGTATTGCGGCCAGGCTTGAGAAATGGTGCACGCATGCCAACCACATCGTTCGCGGACACATTCGCAAAGTGACGCAGAATTTCACGCATGCCAATCATTTCGCCGACCCACTCCTCGTAGCCCTTGTCCTGGAGTCCCAGCTGCTGTGAGATGCTCTCGGTTGCGATTTCGTGACCGGCATAGCCCAGATGCTGGATCTGTTGATAGTTGCTGCAAAACAAATAGACAGGAGAATTGTGAATAGCAATTAAGTGATGTTCGTGCTGATAGCAAAAGAAGGCAAACAATTAAATCAAATACGAGACCATCAAAAGCAGCGCTTAATGAAGGGTCAATGGCTAAATGAGTCAACAGTATATCAGTAGGTCATCATAAACTTTTGTACACACACAGTACACACACACACTCACACACCTTTCTCTACAGTAAAATACAAAGAGATTTCGCTCATGCCCATTTCGTCAAAATATAGGGAGACTTTTTTGTTGCTGAAAATTTGCAATGCCAGTCTCTATATGGAACTGACAGTTTATTCAAATTCAGCAGAAGTCGGAACTGGAAACACCTGAATGTGGCTTAACTATACAAAGCTAAGCAGCCTGCAAATAGAAGTTCTAACAATGCCAAATGCATTTATAAAGCTCAGCCATAAAGCTATGCGTAAGTTGGGGGAAAACTAAACTATTCTCTATATGTATATTTTTTTTGTAGTCTATTAAAGTTTTTGGCTTTTTGTACCCTATGCAGAAAAGGTGGGTGGGTATGTGCATAGCAAAAAGACATTCTCATCTTTCCAAAGTTGCTAAATTTGCTTAATCACAAAAGGCTTAAAGGCTGCGTGTAGTATATTTGGCATGTGGTTTCTTGTACACCCAGCAAAAATATATAAACAAAACGAATTAAAATTAAATTAACTTAAATTAAAAATAAATTAAATTATTTTATATTTATTTTAAATCTGAGTAATGGGTATCTGCACGAGTTGAAATTCAACAAGTTGTTTATTAGGGAATTTTGCCCACAATGTTAATAAAAATGCGCACACTTGATGAACAAACACAAAGACCCCCTAAAGGCAAGACAGATAGAAAGAGAAAGTTGCCCAGTTGCAGTTGCTGCAAGCAATTGTGTGAATATCAAAGCCGACTGACGGATGTGGCTGGCACACCACTTCAGCTTGCCAAGGAAAACAAATTACGCGCAAAACAAAACACAAAGCGGAAAGCAGGAGAGACACGGGAACGAACAAAAAAACAAAAAAATAAAAAAAAAGGTGGAAAAGGGGCGCGAGAAGGCACTGGAACAACGGCGAAGAGGCGGAGACCAGCAGGGCAAGGACACACGGGGAGGCGCGGCGACAGCCAGAGCGAGCGCGACGGCGGGGACGCGAGCGACGAGGGAGGACGGCGACGGCGACGGCGACGGCGAGCGACGGCGACGGCGACGGCGACGGCGACGGCGACGGCGACGGCGACGGCGACGGCGACGGCGACGGCGACGGCGACGGCGGCGACGGCGACGGCGACGCGACGGCGACGGCGACGGCGACGGCGACGGCGACGGCGACGGCGACGGCGAGGCGACGGCGACGGCGACGGCTACGGCGACGGCGACGGCGACGGCGACGGCGACGGCACGGCGACGGCGACGGCGACGGCGACGGCGACGGCGACGGCGACGGCGACGGCGACGGCGACGGCGACGGCGACTGCGACGCGACGGGACGGCGACGGCGACGGCGACGGCGACGGCGACGGCTACGGCGACGGCGACGGCGACGGCGACGGCGACGGCGACGGCGACGGCGACGGCGACGGCGACGGCGACGGCTACGGCGACGGCGACGGCGACGGCGACGGCGACGGCGACTGGACGGCGACGGCGACGGCGACGGCGACGGCGACGGCGACGGCGACGGCGACGGCGACGGCGACGGCGACGGCGACGGCGACGGGCGGCGACGGCGACGGCGACGGCGACGGCGACGGCGACGGCGACGGCGACGGCGACGGCGACGGCGACGGCGACGGCGACGGCGACGGCGACGGCGACGGCGACGGCGACGGCGACGGCGACGGCGACGGCGACGGCGACGGCGACGGCGACGGCGACGGCGACGGCGACGGCGACGGCGACGGCGACGGCGACGGCGACGGCGACGGCGACGGCGACGGCGACGGCGACGGCGACGGCGACGGCGACGGCGACGGCGACGGCGACGGCGACGGCGACGGCGACGGCGACGGACGGCGACGGCGACGGCGACGGCGACGGCGACGGCGACGGCGACGGCGACGGCGACGGCGACGGCGACGCGACGGCGACGGCGACGGCGACGGCGACGGCGACGGCGACGGCGACGGCGACGGCGACGGCGACGGCGACGGCGACGGCGACGGCGACGGCGACGGCGACGGCGACGGCGACGGCGACGGCGACGGCGACGGCGACGGCGACGGCGACGGCGACGGCGACGGCGACGGCGACGGCGACGGCGACGGCGACGGCGACGGCGACGGCGACGGCGACGGCGACGGCGACGGCGACGGCGACGGCGACGGCGACGGCGACGGCGACGGCGACGGCGACGGCGACGGCGACGGCGACGGCGACGGCGACGGCGACGGCGACGGCGACGGCGACGGCGACGGCGACGGCGACGGGCGACGGCGACGGCGACGGCGACGGCGACGGCGACGGCGACGGCGACGGCGACGGCGACGGCGACGGCGACGGCGACGGCGACGGCGACGGCGACGGCGACGGCGACGGCGACGGCGACGGCGACGGCGACGGCGACGGCGACGGCGACGGCGACGGCGACGGCGACGGCGACGGCGACGGCGACGGCGACGGCGACGGCGACGGCGACGGCGACGGCGACGGCGACGGCGACGGCGACGGACGGCGGGCGACGGCGACGGCGACGGCGACGGCGACGGCGACGGCGACGGCGACGGCGACGGCGACGGCGACGGCGACGGCGACGGCGACGGCGACGGCGACGGCGACGGCGACGGCGACGGCGACGGACGGCGACGGCGACGGCGACGGCGACGGCGACGGCGACGGCGACGGCGACGGCGACGGCGACGGCGACGGCGACGGCGACGGCGACGGCGACGGCGACGGCGACGGCGACGGCGACGGCGACGGCGACGGCGACGGCGACGGCGGGCGACGGCGACGGCGACGGCGACGGCGACGGCGACGGCGACGGCGACGGCGACGGCGACGGCGACGGCGACGGCGACGGCGACGGCGACGGCGACGGCGACGGCGACGGCGACGGCGACGGCGACGGCGACGGCGACGGCGACGGCGACGGCGACGGCGACGGCGACGGCGACGGCGACGGCGACGGCGACGGCGACGGCGACGGCGACGGCGACGGCGACGGCGACGGCTACGGCGACGACGGCGAGTCGACGGCGAGCTACGGCTGACGGCGACTGCTACGGCTACGTGCTATTGCGACTGTGCACTTCTACGTCGATACTGCGACGTCTACTTCTACTGCTATCGTCTACTGCGACGTCGACTGGACTACTTCGAGTACTGCGACTTCTACGTCTACTTCTACGTCTACTTCTACTTCTACTTCGACTCTACTTCTATCTAACTTCTACTTCTACTTCTACTTTCTACCTTCTACTCTACTCTTACTACGTCTACTTCTACTTTAACGTCTACTTCTACTTCTCATTCTACTTCTACTTCTACTTCTACTTCTACTTCTACTTAACAAGAATGTGCTATGCACAATGCCCTCAAAAGGCATTCCGGCAACAACAACATCAACAACACAACATAGAGAGGTAAAGTTGCGCCCGAAAGTATGTAGTAGTTTAAAATGCGTCAGTTTTGCGAAGTAGAAGCAACAAACATAATTGCTCATATGTGTGTGTGTGTGCGTGTGTGTCTGTTTGTGAAATACATTTCTTGGCAGGGCGGGGCAGTACGTAGGCAAGAAATTTACTGTGCACAAATAGTTTTTGGGCAAAACACAAAATAAAACTAAAACAAAATTTAACAACGAAAAAATGTAAATAAAATTATGAATGTGTTTTGTCTGTCGCTCTTTGTTAGCTTGTTTCGCATGCAGCAATAAAACAAAAAGAGAATAACGAATATGCATTTAACTATGAATGTATGTGTAAAACAACAACAAAATTGCATGTATATTTATTAAACATTTCACTCAGTCGAGAGCGGGGTCGGAGTCGGTGTCTGGCTGCAGGAATCTGACTGCCATCATCGCCCTGCGCGTTTGTGCATGTGTGTCCCTCACACACCCTCTGTGTGTATGTGGGCGTGCTTCAGTTCTGTGCAAACAAACTGCGCAAATATTTCGCAATGAAATTACGCCCTTAAGTCAAAGTTTTGGGCTCTGCAGTGGCTCAAAACGAAAACGAAAACGAATACGAAAATATAAAAAATAAAACAACAGCAGGAAAAACGCAAAGTAAAAATAATGAATGCTATGCTGACGCACTTTAGCCTATAGAATGACGTACCCAAGGCGGTGACACGCCCACACACACACCCACACATACACACACATGCATCCACTTGCATGCGGTGGAGGCCTCGACAATAGCGGGCACAAACTACTATCTGACATCGTCAAAAAGTTCATGCAAAAATGTGGAAATGTGAAAAGTTGTTGAAATGCTCAGGCACAGGCCCAGGCCCAGGCCCAGGCCCAGGCCCAGGCACAGGCAGAGAACACACACACACACACTTAAGAGGGGCAGCTTGGTGTCGACAATAAGCGCTGCTCATGTGTGCGTGCGTGTGTTTGTGTGGGTGTGTTAGGTAGATTTATTGCATGACATTTCAATTGTTAGACAAACAGCTGGACGAGAACTGAGCTGGGCTATAACTACAACCAAAAGCTGTACTTGTAGTCAAGGCCGAAAGACGCTGAGAAAACAAAAGGAACGTGCAGCAGTCAACACTGTGGCGTGGTCGAGAAGGGGCGAGCTGGGGCAGGGAGGGGCGGTGCAATACTACCCTTTTTCTTAGTTATCCGTGGGCGTGGAGCGTAGGTGAGCTCCTGAGCTGGGGCACAAAATGTTGGCAGCAATTAACACTGTGAACGCAGCAAACACACAGCAGAAGATGCAAAGCAAGTGCTCAAAATAACTGACGAAACATGGCTACATGGATATGCTAGACACACACACACACACACACTGACACACACT